CACTGTTGTTCACGATCCTCCGTTCGATCTCGCCATTCTTCTCGCGACCGTCTGAGGACTCAACGAACTTACTTGCGAACGGAACCCGCCAAGAATGGGCAGAGTAGCTGCCACTGAGCTTCCGATCTACACGCGCCCGGCCCGACTAGAGTGCAGCCGACGGAAGGCGCAGGAGCCACGCCACAAAGGTCCTGTTTCATGTATCGGTCGGGCATGTGAAACCGTAGCGCCAAAAAGAGTGAGGGGAGATGAGGGTATGAAGAAATTGCAGGAGTCAGGCGGAAAATGAGCAAGCATCTGCTGCAAAGCTTCTCGCTCCATGGAACATGTGCGGCCCAGTCGACTCTCATTCGCAGCGCCGCCCGTAGAGCAATGGGCACGCAGAGTTTGAATGCACAGGAAACGGTGGCGCCAGTGGTACACGTAAGGTCTCCTAGAAAGATTCTCTACTGCAACACTACTAGCACGGTCGCCAAAGTCAGGAAGGCAGGGCCTCCAACCAAAGCGCCTGCCGTTTCCACATCGTGGAAGCAGCCAAAACTTCCTGGCTGACATCCGCTGGAGACGCAACAATACCACCCCTCTCTAGCCAAATACCCCTCGTCACATGTGTACACCTCGTAGTCCTCAGCCAGGCAATCCCGGTTATCATCTGCACATGTCCCGCAATCGAGACCGTTAAGGCACGTCCCGTAGAAGGCATACCCACCGCCATAACATTCGGCAACACACACATTGTCGTAGTCAACCCCATCCATACCGCATACCGCAAGCCAGTCGTTGTCGGCACAATCGCACACCACTGTTGAGGACCCGCCGCCCTGTGCCTGCGTGCCTGTAGTAGATCGTATACTTGTCAACGAAACGGTTGCCGATAAAACTGTCCACGTTGCCAGCCCAGTTGTTGTCATCGACGTATGTGCCACTCCTGTGGTACAACACTTGTCTCCCTCGTACCCGAGTTCCCTCTCGAAGCACGCTTCCCTGCAGAACTTGTTGTTCGTCCAGTAGTCTGAGTGGCGGCAGAGGTCCATGTTGTTAATGTTGTTGTCGATGAAACTGCCGCACGAAAGACCGTTCTGCTCCATATCCGCCGCCATGCCTCGAGGCACGAAGTGAAGCGCTCTCAGGGCCTCAAAAGTCCCCAATCCTCAATATCAGCCGACCATGCCGCCGTGTCCGAGACGCTGTTTCGTTTGACTCGTCGTCATCGTCTTTATCGTCGTCGTGAGTCGCCGCTCCCTCCCCCTTTCCCTGGGCCATGCTCCGCAAGCGCGCCAGCCAAAGCGAAATTGAGCAACGTCGTAGTTGAGTTGAGTTGAAGGGAAGCCCGTTCCTTTGATCCCTTGCCCGCCGTGGGGCGGGAGTCCCGGGGGGGGCCCCAAAGGGGGTGTTGACGGGGGTTTTGAGGGTGGTCCCGGGTCGAACCCCTCCGAAGAGTTCTGGTGCCCCAAAGACCCCAAGACGTGCCAAGAGTGCCCCAAGAGGCCTCCAAGATGGTCCATGAGGGCCCCGATTCGCCGAGCGACGAATCCAAGACGCCCAATATTGTCTCCAGATGGCCCAAGAGGACTGCAAGACGTCTCAAGAGGCCTCCAAGAGCACTCCCAAGAGGGCAAAAGGATGCAAGCTTGATGTTTTTGCTCCTTGGGTGTTTGAAGGATTTGGGGGTTCTCGCCTGTTCGGCTTCCCGACGCCCTAAGGCAGCCCCCAAGATCGCCCCAAGACAGCCAACGAAGCCTCCAAGAGGGCCCCAAAACGACCCAAGGCGGCTCAAGAGGCCTCCAAGACGGCCCAAGAGGCCCTCAAGACAGCTCCAAGAGGGGGCCCAGGCGTGGGACCTGGACGGACACGTTGAGCCCTCGGCCCAGATTGGCTCCAAGGAGGCCCTAAGAGGTCTCCAAGAGGCATCCAAGAGGCCCCCAAGACGGCCCCCAAGACGGCCCAAGGAAACCCCAAGAGGCTCCAAAAGGCTCCCGAGAGGCCCCCAAGTGGCCCCCGAGAGGCCCCAAGCCTGCCCCCCAGAGGCCCCCGCGAGCGCTCCGAAGAGACTCCAAGAAGCATCCCTGAGGACCCTGACCTACATCAACGTTGTCGTCGTCGTCGTCGTCGTCGTCGTCGTCGTCGTCGTCGTCGTTGGGGTCGGCGGCGCTGGCCGTGAGGCCTTCGTAATTAAATATTGCAAATGCTCTGCATTGTGCTTGAATGCCCAACCCTTGGGGCTTGTCGCAAGACTTGCCTCAATACCAGAGGGCTTGAAGACATGCCAAGAGGGTCCCAGGGATCCCCCCGAGAAAGTCCAAGAGGGCGCCGAGACGGCCCAAGAGCGCTCCAAGGCGCCGCAAGACGGTCTCAAGACGACCCAAGAGACAACCATCATTGATTTCCTGTAGGTTGTTGAAGGATTTGAGTCTTCTCACCTTGTCGAGCTTCCGACGCTCCAAGATGGTCCAAGGGGGCTCCAGCATTCCCACACTAAGGCTCAAGGAGCCCCCAAGGGGGCCCCAAGATGGCCTAAGAGGGCGTAAGAGGGAAACAAGATGGCCCAAGAAGAGCTGGTGAGGGGCACGGTTCGAGTCCTCCGCCACATGGTGACCCGCGAAACCGTCAGCGGCCCCAGAGGCGCCCCAAGGGCCTGCGCAAGCACAGAAGCCCCAAGAAGCCCCGAGACACCCCAGCAAAACTGCTTCCGGGAGGCTTCTGAGAGGCCCCCAAAGAGATCCCAACAGGCATCCAAGAGGCCTCTGGCCTACAATCCAGGCGTGGTGGCGGGACGGTCCGAAGGCCACTAGATAGACTGTGAGCGCGTTGCCGCAGTCGGAGCATGTTGTTACTGTAACTGTGCTTGAAGTCGACTGTATGCCAGATGCTGCGCTCGTGAAGTTCGTGTACTGCGGGGACGGCGGCATCGACGATGTCGGGTAAGTGCTCCTGATTGCGTCCTCGTCGATACCGCACAAGCTCGCATCAGTCACGTAACCCGCCGACCCCGCTGGGCGCCAGTGCGATAGACGCCAGCCGCGCTCCGATGGGGAGCCAGCCTTTGCGATTGGGGGGGCGGCGCGGGGCGCGCAAGGCAACCCAGGGCCCGTTGACATCAGAGCGTGGCTGTCGCACGCATGCCGCCCAGACGGCCCATTGAGCCACGGGGTTCCGCATGACAGCCAATGTGCCTCCAAGGCGGCCAAGAGCGACCCGAGAAGAGCTGAGGACGGCCCAACATCGACCCAAGCAGGCCCCAAGACGATCCATGAGGCCGCCCGAAGACCCCGATTTTGCTCATGACAGCCTCACGGCGACCTGCCAGCGGGGTCCCAACAAGCGGGTCAAGCAAGCCAATCCACCCCATATTTGCCCCGAGAGGCGCACGAGACGACGAACGATAAATATACGTATGAAGATGATACCGGAGAAAAGCCCCAATCAGCATCTTTTTGGGGCTATAGGGCTATGGTGCTATAGGGCTGTAGGGCTAGAAGGCTATGGGGCTATAGGGCTATAAGGCTATAGGGCTGTAGGGCTGTAGGGCTGTAGGGCTATAGGACTATAGGGCTTAGGATATAGGACTATAGGGCTATAGGGCTATAGGGTTATAGGGCTATAGGGCTATAGGGCTATAGGGCTATAGGGCTGTAGGGCTATAGGGCTATAGGGCTATAGGGCTGTAGGGCTATATGGTTATAGGGCTATAGGGCTATGGGGCTATAGGGCTACAGGGCTATAGGGCTATAGGGCTGTAGGGCTATAGGGTTATAGGCTATAGGGCTATAGGGCTACAGGGCTGTAGGGCTATAGGGCTATAAGGCTATAAGGCTACCGGGCACCCCAGGGCATCCGGGCGCCCAGGCTGGCCACCGAAATCGGCGACGAGCCTCACCTAACCATGTGAATCCGCTTGGACCCCTACAGAGGCAAGCTCTGATTGGGAAATAACGAACGAGGATGAGAAGAGGGGCAGTAGGAGGCTGACGACGAGGACAGGGAAAAACTCGCCTGGCGATGGCCCCTAGCCCCGTGCAGGTGCGTGTAGCGCAGGGCGTGGCCCTCGCTGCATACCTTACGCGCCGCAAGATCGTGTGGAGGAGGGAGCGGCGGGACACGCGCGTAGGGTCAGGCTGAACGCCCCGGAACGTGTGAAGGTGCAGCGACATGGGCACGGGCACGCGTGCGGACTTTGCCGCTGGGGCCTTCGGTGGAGCTCTCTGTGCGGCCACGAAGCGAGTGATGGATGTGCAGATGGGCGCGGGCACGGATGCGGGGATCGCCACTGGGGCCTTCGGTGGAGCCACCTATGGTTGTGGATGCCATGACACTGGACACCCTAACAATTCGATCATTGAATGTTAAATGTGTTTAACATGTCGGAAAATGCCCTAAACATGTTTGAAACGTGTTTTCACATTTCAAAACAGTTTTAACACATGTTCTAGACATCTGGAAATTGTTTGGCAACATGCTTCCTCTCCATTGATCGTCCTCCACAAAAGTGTGGAGCCACGACGCGTGCGATGATGCGTGTTGGCATTGGCGTGGCGGACTTTGCCACCAGAGCCTTCGGTGCAGTGGGACCACGAAGCGTTATGGGTGTGCCGAAATAGGCGTAAGCAAGCACGCGGAGCTCCGTGTGGCAGCGAAACATGCGAATGGCGTGCCAAAGCTGACGCGGGCACGCGCGCGGGCTTTGCCTCTGGCGCCGTCAGTGGAACTTCATGCGGGACCACGAAACTGGTGAGGTGCATGCCGAAATAGGCGCGGGCATGCATGCGGACCTTGCCACTGGGTCCTTCGATGGAGCTTCCCAGGGAGGCACGACACGTGTGATGGGTGTGCCGAAATGGGCGCGGGTACGGATGCGGACTTTGCCGCTGGTGCCTTCGGTGGAGCTCACTGTGGGGCCACGGACGTGTGAGGGTATGCTGGAGTCGGCACGCGGAGGATTGGGGCAAGGGTGAGAGGGTAATGCGGAGGTCAGAGGCAAGGATGGGGAGGAGGCGAGGTGAGGTGAGGTGAGGTGAGAGACGCAAAGCGCTGCGCATCCAAAACGAGGACACAAAACGGTATGGTTGTGGGTGAAACTCATGTGACCCCGTCGACTTCGCACTCTCCTCGCTGGCGTGACTGCCCAACGACCCAGCCTCGCCACTATCTGTGCTGACCAAATGTATGTCGCCCGCCGATTGCCGATATGTGGCGCATGCGATCACTGAATTAAGGCAGGGGCGCTTCGGAGGAAGATCAGGAGAAGAGGACGATGACGAGGGGGAACATGTGACGTGCCTGCTTGACAGTGTTCGCGCGGAGCGTTATGTATCATTGTACACAGCGTTGACCTCTGTGGGCACGCATGCCTTATTGTTTCCACCCGCGATGATGCTGCAAATATTGAAGCACTGGTACGCGTAGTCACCGTCGACAGACGTAGCGACAGTGTTACTCCAGAGCTTTACATTGATGCCAGAATTAATGACGAATCCACCCGCCGATTGTCTCTGCTCGACGTCTTTTGTCGTCATCCCATTGGAGAAAACAACATTTCTCTCCACGATGACTGTCACAAGATCGTTGTCGGTGTTGTGTACCACCACGCCATTGATCCCATTGTCGAAGCATGTATTCTCCTCCAGACTGAAAGTTCCCTCGAAATCCTGATTTCTGGAAATGTAGACACCGGAGCCGTCAATGATGTAGTCTTGATTCCAAGATGCGTAATGCCCGATGTTGGAGCCGGTCTGGCCTGGCAGGTCCGCCAAGCTGGGGGAGTAAAAAGGCATGAAGTTCCTGTTGCCGTAGACGACGTTCCGAGCAATCGACATCAAACCATATCCCTGGCTCTCTGCAAACACGATCGCGCTCTCACCACTCGTGGTCCACCAAAGATTGTCGTACACGAGGTTGTCTGAAATCACCACGTCGTTTGCACGGTTCGCTCGGATTCCCGACGCAGGGCAATGGTGCACCGCCAGCTGCCTGAAGCAGAGGCTGCTGGAGCCCGAGCTGCCGGCCCACACGGCGATGCCACGGCCGTTGAAGTATCCCAGCGTCGTGCCTCTGCAGAACCCGTTGGCGGAGTCGTACTGGCAGTCCGCGGTCGCGCCACACTCGGACTCCGAGCACGAGGCGCACTCCGTGCGAGAGCACTGCCCGGTCGTGGAGCCGTTGAGCGAGCGGCTCGTCAGGCGTGCGCGCTCGTCGCTCGCCTCCGCGCCAGTGATGCGCTCCGCTGGTCCCTCGATCTCCAGGCCCTGCAGGGTGATTTGCTGGGAGTCCTTGATCGAGATGCCACCGGCGCCATCGAATCTCAGGAGCGGCTTGCTGTCGGGCGTCGCGGCTTGGATGATCAGCCCCTTCTTGTTCGTGATGCTGGTGACCCAGCCGTTCGCGAGACCAGCGGCACGCGGAGCAGCCTCAGACCATCCTCTGTTCCTGTACTCCCCAGCCTCGAGCGAGATCCTCGTGAAATCCACGGCAGCCTGCACCGCCGTGTCGAGCGGATTGCACAACTCGTCGCTCGTCCAGCTTGACCAGCAGGAGGCTGGCGGTGGACCGACAGTCACGTCAGTCCACTCGCCATCCTGCTGGGTTCCGGCAGCGATGCCCGGGGACGAGCCGACAAAGACAACCACGGCCGCAACCGCGCGCGGCTTTCGGGCCATCAGTGTGGCTGGCCCGGGCACTGGTCAGCAAACATGCCCTGCCCGGAGCTACAATAGCTTAGGCCGAGATGGTGGGGACGCCACCTTCGGCCAGCTGAACTTACAGATGGCTGACACGGGATCGGCTTCCTCGCCGCCCCGACGAAGTAATTCTCCCGCCGCCCACATGTGGAGCCATTAAGCTGTGTGGCGGAGGTGTCCTGCTTCCTGCGCCAGTGCCGAGTTCTGGTCTCCAATGTTCGAATTTTACCTTCTGCTTCCACCTGTAAATTGTTCGAGTCTGCGCCAAGGGGGGTGGGACCGAAAACCGCCCTGGCCCCCACGCCCAAATCGCGTTGCCTGAATTTCTCGTGGGCCTGGGACACGTAGAAGTA